CTTTAAATTACATTTAGCTAACTTTAACTTAAAACTAGCTGATGTCAGATTAGTGTAATTTATAGAGAAACTGAACACACCTGGGCAGAGAAAATGATGATGGTGAATGAGATGACAAGAGTTGATCCTAAAGCGATGATCACAGCACTTGTGTTGTGATATGAGGCTATAGTTCCCACCATGTAGGACAGACTCAGCGTAACCACTGACTGCAGGCAATAATAGGGCATGTTAGGCCTATCAAAGGCATAGCCTATAATTAAAGTGTTGAGTGTAATAACATTGCATTTTGATTTCTGATCAAGACATAGAAGTACCAACTGGAACCACACAAGTACACAAATAATCCCTTATAAACAAGTAATTTGTCAAGCCATTTTTAATAAATAAAATGCATTATTAGAAATAATTTGACTTTACAAATGTATTTATTTCTAGCTTACAATTTAAAAAAATGACATAAAATGCAACCTGAATAGACAAATGCACAAATAAGAGGTCTGAAACACAATCACGTGTCGTCTAGGGAAATGTTATAAACTATCATTTTTCATTAACGCAAGTAACCTGTTAAGCATGCGCGAAGTCAGCAAGCCAGCATAAAAGTGACCCTGGACCACAAAACCAGTCATAAGGGTCAATTTTTTGAAATTGATATTTATACATCATCTGAAAGCTGAATAAATAAGCTTTCCATTGATGTATGGTTTGTTAGGACAGGACAATATTTGGCCGAGATGCAACTATTTGAAAATCTGAATCTGAGGGTGCAAAAAAATCAAAATACAGAGAAAATCGCCTTTACAGATGTCCAAATGAACTTCTTAGCAATGCATATTACTAATCAAAAATTAAGTTTTGATATATTTACAGTAGGAAATTTACAAAATATCTTCATGGAACATGATCTTTACTTAATATCCTAATGATTTTTGGCATAAAAGAAAAATCGATAATCTTGACCCATACAATGTTTTTTTGGCTATTGCTATATAACCCAGCGACTTGAGACTGGTTTTGTGGTCCAGGGTCACAAAAGAGATGTAGGAAAGCCCTTATATGGACATGTTTAGGCACGTTTTATACAAATGATATAGCTGGAATGTGCTCACTTACTTAATAATTCGGATTCATTCATATTAAAAGGAATGTAAGAGCAAATTCTGCTGTAAATATGGTGGAAAGTCTGTGAGAATTTTTCTGTGCACATAAATAGGTACAATAGGTATGAATTTATTAGTGAATTGGCCCTACTTTTCTATGATCTAATGTAAAAGCTATTCAGGACATCACAGCTCTTTGGAAAATGCTATTATGATTAGTAATCGCTGCATTTTGTGGTCATTTTTAATAACAAATGTTAAACCCTTTTAATTGACTTTTATCCCAGGCAACTGACTTCCTCAATAGCTATGCTTGTATTTTCATATATCTAATCAACTTTTTTTCTCACAAATCAATATTTCATGTCCATTCATTTGGCCGAATAATAAGCAAGATATGAGCTGATGTAGAGTCAGCATTATAACAACCTCTTCACCCTGTTTATTTTTCTGATGATACCTGCTGTACATAATGCTCACATAAACCTTTATATTTCGGCCACTGCACTTACAGAGGAAATACAGGCTGCACCAGTCTGTTGTGGTCATGGAGAGGAAGTAACCAAGTTACAAAATGCAATGGCTGACTTAAAGGAAGGAGATTTTTTTTTCCTGGGTCAACCTATATAGCATAGAAGATGTTGATTTATATGTGTATGTATTAACATAGTTTAAGAGCGTAGGCAAACTCATTTGCAGTGCTTATTGGCACTAAAGTGTTTTTTTTGCTGCAATTAGCTTTTTTTCAGTTCTCTGACTGGTGGAGATATCTTTGTAGAATCATGAGTAAAGTAATTTTTCACTAGGAATTCCTGTGTTGGATGGTTATTTAAAAAATAAGTCAAAACAATGTGGGCTGCTGTCTTCAACAAAAGCATATACCATCGAATAACAACATTGAAAATCAGTTACCCTATAGAGAAAATGAATGTGATTTTTACTTGCACTCTATTTTGATAGAAAAGTTCATCATCTCCTAACTGTAGGCGGCTACAGTATGTGTCACACAGCATGAAGACACATATTAACACACAGACACTCACCAGTCCCAGCAGGTTCCAGGGATGTGTGCGACTGAATGTGGAAAACACAGCAAGACATGTGCCCACTACTGCAAAGATAATGTAAGAACTGAGGTACACCCAGATGTTACTCTGAACCGCTGCCTTGACTGTGTTTGAGAAGGTGAACACACAGACGACAGTGAAAGTGGCTAGTAACTGAATTGTTACCACACTGAACACCTGCGTGGGTAGAGAGAGATTGGAAATGACAATGAGGACCAGCATTCAGAGCAATCATAATATTTACGATGGCATGCAAATCACAGAAATGCTCACCTTTCTGATAAATGCTTTCCGAACAGTATCATCCTCAAATGATGACACAAACATCGGACATTCCTCAGGTGGGAATACAGCTATTAAAAAAGAAAAATATTATTACTGTGATGACATTCATGTCATTCGATGGTTATTTTGGTTTTGTCGTAATTTTAAGTAAATGTTAGATGGATAATTCAGTGAAATAAAACACCTGCTGGGTCTGGATTCGGTTCTTCTGCTTTGCTGATGCCGGTCTCTTCTGGCGGCAGGTTGGGTGGGATGAAGCTGACTGGCACAGGAACGGGTTGAGGGTACATGACAGGCCCCGTAGGATAAGGAGGAGGCATGTATGGCGGTGGGGCATACATTGGTGCTGTCGCTGCATGGCTAGGATCATTCTCAGGCGCAGGTTTTTGGCTCTCTATATCCGTCATCCTAAACAAGATGTGGTTAGTTGAGATTGCATTGTCAGAATGTCAAAACAACAGGAAAAGATGTTTCCACTTTGGGGTGGACTTTTATGAGTCAAAGAAAAAAAAAATATGTAGAAAAAGCATCACAGTGCACAGGAAATGGTAGGGTCTGCAATGTTTGTTTGCTATTGTGGGGTTTGTTATAGTTCCATTATAGTTCCATATCTTATATTTAACTTATAGGTGAAGATAGAAATAAATTGACAATGATCCTGAGAGTACTGATATAAGATATATTGATAAAAGAAACTGAAATTTTCCAGTTTTTTTTTTTAGTGTAAGAAGGGAATAGGATCATAGTAACATTTTTACAAATTGTGACCCTGTCTGTGAAATCCAGGCTAAAGTCTCAAAATCTAATTATGAGATAAATAGCATCAATGTTTGATTTCAACCATTAATTTGACTAGGATTTCAATCTTTGACATGGCCTTACTCAGTCAATATTAAAGATATAAAGGTTATATTTTCACAGAATGTTCTACATCTTTATGAAGGATGATTTTATGTGTAAATCAGTAAATCACAAAAAAAAAAAAAAAAGCTGGGTTTTCACATTTCCTTCTCAACTCAGTAAGAAGTTTACACACAATCTGTTAGCACAGCAGGAAACTTTTTTTTTTTTTTTTTTGCAAAAGTATAATAGTACACTTTTATTAGAAGTAAATGTATCCTTACTATTTTTAGATTGGAAAAAGACAAGATATATTTTTTAAAAGGGTTGCATAGTGCAAGCTTTAAGACTGCATATGCTAAGCTGCACCACTTTAACATATTTGTGTATTGTTTTACTGTTGACCTAAATCTGTAGCATTGCAGTTCATTTGAATTAGAAATGCTGAGTGGATTACAAATGGGCCAAATCCTCAATTGGTTGACTAAAAGTTGATCAAAGAGACAAAGTGTGCAACATTCAGTGTTAAAAGCTGGCTTTTGTTCTCATTCGTATTTCAGCTGATGTTATCACTTTATTTCTAAAGGGTTTACTGATTGATTATAATTAGATCAAATTTATTTGACAGATTAGTAAGTTATTTTCTATTTAGAACAATCGATTTCTGCATGCACAAAAATAATATTGATATTTTATAGTATCATATACATAACTTAAAAAAAAAAAACTTACCTGGATTCTTCTTACCCTCAGTGTGGTCTGGTGTGAAGTCTGAGCTCTCAGCGATCTCAGATGTTTAATGCCTCACCTTTGTTTCACACAGACTGAAGTAGGTTCCACATCCTCCTATTACATCATTTACAAAAAAACCACTCTGTGGAAAATCTGTTGTGAAGTTGTTCACACAATTGACCAAAAAGTTGCTTATTGTAAAAGTTCACACCACTAGCTTCCCTTCTGTGTCCACTTTTTGAACTGGTGCATTTTTATGACTCCCCCACCATTAAATGACCACCATAAATATGCAATCTTTAAGCGGTTGTACTCTTGTTTGACACACAAATAGGCAAATCCTAAAATCTTGACTAGGCAAGCTTGTGTACATTTGCAGATATAAAGCAAAATGCTAGACTTTCTAGCACAGTCTTAGTATTATTGCAAAAGTTCGTTCACTTTGACGGTTTGTCTGTTGTGTGTGTATGGGGGTTTTAGCAGGGTTAACATGTTTCACAAATTCGACCACAAAATGCAAGTGCAACAAGAGCTGTCGAAATATAGGTTATACAGGATTTTGACACTTCATGGCAAACCCCACTTAACTCAGGAACAAGTGCTTCCTTTTTAACAGAATTCAAAATGTTTACCATAAAACGAATATGAAATTAATGTGACACTACAACCTTTTAAACAAAAGGAAGTAAAGGAAACAGCTTCCACAATCATAAATCCATGGTCAAATTAGAATTTAACCATATAGCAGTCAATTTTCTTATTCACAACTAAGGTTATATTGACATAAATTTCAGTATAATATGTACATGTAATATATTTCCATGAGCAAAGATGATCCAGAGCACAAAGACCATCACACTTAAGCATATTTATTGTAAAAAATACATATAAAAACAAATTTTCAGACATACAAAAGATTTATAGGCATTGGAAACAGCATCATGGACAAACAAAACACAAAGCCATTTTGAAATGTGATACATATTTACACTTTAATAAATAAATACTCAATTGTTCTTTAGCAGAATGAAGGCAGATTGTCTGTGTTTGGGGATGTGAATATATGCAAATCATACTGACCCAAAGAACATTCCCAACTCATTCATATTTGACCGACAACTGTCAAAACACAGGATCAAGCGGGTCAAGACCCTTAGCACGGAGTAATTACAGAACTTGCTATGGTATTTATACTGTGTATATATATAATAATATTTCGAGAAAAAAACAAAAAACAAAACCAAACACCACCTTTGGAGTTAGCTAAGCCCCAGGTTAGTATAGTAAATATTGATATTGAGGTATGGCACCACATATGTTAAAGGGCAAAAGCTAACTTAGAGAGCTTAAAAGATTGTCAAAATACTCTGACAATACCTCCCTCCACTCCACAATGCACTACACAGACACAAAACATACATGTAACTGTAAAAATGACTTTTGCCTTTGGCTCACAGACACACATGGCATTTCTCATGTTTTCAATTGGAAAGAACCGTCAAGACTGTCCTGTAAAGGAAACACATTGCAATACTTTCAAAGTTAACCTCTCAGCTGAGAAAAGCAAAGTCTTACCACTCAAAATATGAATCCTCGAGCGAAGGCAAAAAAGTAACAGACCAAATGACCTCTACAAGACACAACAGAATAATGAACATAACACCCACAATCAGGAAACCCCATAAACCTGAAAACATGAAAAAGTATTTACCCTGTGGAGGGCTGTCTAAAAAAAAGAAGAAAAAAAAGACCTGTTCATTATATTTATTCCATTGTTCCTTCCAAGGGGGTTGATGATAATGTCATAATTACCCATCAGCTGTTCTCAATCGCCATTCTCAGGCAAAGCATGCGCCATATGGCATTACTGCGCCTGACATACAGGCCTGGTGTAAAGTGACTGGATTTCTCTAGGCTACTACGTCTGAGACGCAGAGAAGCAATTTCACAAACCCTCCCCTCCAAGAGTAATACATGCTGTCAGGTCATCAGCGTCAAAATCTTCTGCATTTAAGTACACACTTGAACACACACTTCACTGCAACCAATAACATCCATTAAGCTAGCTAGTGGAAGTATTGCTCTGATCTGTTAACAATATACAGTTTTACAAATGAGTAAAAGCAATCAGATCAAGAGGTTAAAAGGGCCTAATGTGGTAATTAGAGGGATACCACTATTCTTGGTAGTTTAAATCGAACAAATCTATTGGAAATTTCACTCTGCCTTTGAAATGTTCCTATAGTAACAAAAAGGGAAAAGGGTAAACAAAAAGATTATCCCCCAAAAATATAAAACATCATGCCTCATATGTAATTCCTGTGCAATATTTATGCATTTACAGCTCCTCTGCGTTCATCCAGGATCTGCCCAACAAACTCTACAAAATCAAGTAGTTCATTCAAGCCAATGCAACCCCGGCAGGCTGCACAAAACCAAATGCTTAGCCCGGCATAAATTACAGATCACCACGTTTCCATGGTAAGAAGAACACCATCCCTCCGGGAGATCAAGATGTTCACACGGAGAGGTGATCCATGTGTAACTTCCATCCATTTACATGTTTGTTTTACAAAGTTCTATTCAGTTTATCAGTTTCACTCTGAGCCTTAAAGTAAAGAGTTAAGAGAGGAAAGGCAAGCAGAACAAACCCGCCGTTCACGCAGGTGCTGTAAAGTAGAGAAAAGCCAAGTCTCAAGAGTCACATCAGATAGTTAAAGCCAGGCTCACTCAGAGTCAGACCGATTAAGATGACCACAAGTGATGATGCTTGTTATTTGTTTTTGTTTCTTTCGCTCAATCCTCTCATCAGAAAATATGCTCCTGCCAGGGGGTATTGTCTCCTAAAATGATGAAACAGAAAAAAATATGCACTTAAAATGTTAAGTGAAGAGGGATCTAATTTTTTTATTAAATCTAAAAGGAATAGTTCACGCAAAAATGAAAATTAGCTTAAAACCTCTCACTCAGATAGATGGGTTTGTTTCAACAGAACGAATTTGAAGAAATTTTGCATTACATCACTTGCTCACCAATGGATCCTCTGCAGTGAGTGGGTGCCATCAGAATGAGAGTTTAAATATTTGATAAAACATCACAATAATCCACACTACTCCAGTGAAGCTCAAAGCTGCATGTTTATAATAAACCGTTGCTTCTGAGTAAAATATGAGTCCTCTATCTATAATATCACTTTCTCCAGTGAAAAAAAGTTATCTTGCCTAGTTATCAAGCATATATCAAGTACCGTTTACAGTCTTACAAACCCTTTTGCTTCACAAGACTTTAACAGATTGAATGGAGTCGCATGGAATACTTGTGGATTAATGTGATGTTTTTATCAGCTGTTTCAACTCTCATTCTGATGGCACCCATTCACTGCAGAGGATCCACTGGTGAGTAAGTTATGCAAGGCTAAATTTCTCCAAATCTGTTCTGAAGATGAAAAACTCATCTACATATGGCCTGAAGATGAGTACATTTTCAGCAAATTTTAATTTTTGGGTAAACTATTCCTTTGAAGGAATTGTTCGCTAAAAAGTTTCAAAAACGTGCATACATTTCTTTCTTCTGTAGAACACAAAAGATGTTATTTTGAAATTATACTTTAATGTCCGTACAATCAAAGTCAATGGGGTTATACAGGTTTGGAACAATATAAAGGTGAATGACATGACATTTTAATAAATTTAACTTTTGAATATATTTTAACAAAGAAAACTACTTGAAGGACTAAACTCACCTGAGTCAAAGTGTCATTGCACAAGAACACACGAATCAATCAAAAGGATGCTCAGGGCAGCACGGCTTCACTTTGCTCCATGTGTCAATGCAGCTATTTAGAGAAATATCAGCCATTACATAGGCTATTGAAAGCATTTGTAACAAATCCTTAAGTTTTTTTTTTTTGGATGGTTATGGTTACCTCTTATGGTAGACACACAGGCAGGCCAGACGAGCGATGGTTTCCCCCTGTAGCAGGTCTTCGAGACAAATTGAACACTCTCCACTGTCCTTAGCTAGCACATCAGCTATTGGACAAGATATGATAGAATTAATATCGAAGATATTAGCAGATGAAACAAAAAAAAACAAAAAATAAATAAATAAAAGCTGCAAGCAGCAATGAAAGGGCCCTCGCACCCGGGCTCATCGCCACCTGGTGGCATTGGGAAAACAGCAAACGGTGGGCAATGTGCATTTAAAGTGGTAAATATAGGAGGAATATGTCTAAGTCATTTATATGTGCCAAACTTCCTGCTGCCAGCTGGTGGCACTATGATTATAACTTAATGTTAGCATGTAGATGTCTTCAGGCCAGGACTTTTATCAAACATGTGAAGTCTGGTGCAGATTGAACATGGTATGTTTGAGTTAGTGTAAAGCATGACATATCCTGTTGCCAACAGGTGGCGCTTTGGTCATTAACTTTTAAATGCATCATTATGCAAACACATGAGCAGATAGACCCCCGACTGGCAGATCAACGTACCTCTTAATTTCTCTCCAATACGGTAGAAAATCAAATTAAACAAAATATGGATGATGTTAACTGTGATAAGATGATTGACGGCAGTTTAAACAGTGACAGAATTCAGGTAACTAAGCAACAGAGCATCCGTTAAAGACGCAGTTATGACGAAGTAGTATGTCCCAAAGCTTGCCTACTATTCTGCTACATACTCAAAAGTATGTACTTTTTCTTCACAAAAAGAGTGCATACTTTTAGGGCATAGTATAAGTAAGCGAATTGGGACGCAGCAATGGTATGTTTGAGTTAGTTTAAAGCATGAAATATCCTGTTGCCAACAGGTGGCGCTATGATTATAACTGAACATTGACGTGTAGATGTGTTCAGGCCAGTCATCATATCACATAACGCACCTGCAGCGGTTCTGCGAGTGGAGAAAATCATAATAAAGCTATATATATATATATATATATATATATATATATATGAGAGATACACAGAT